TAGTAACCAAACAATTAGGAAAAGTTCAGAAGAAGTGATTAATTTTTGGTGATGGTATGAACGCCGATGACCAGTAGTTTCTGTAATGGCAAAAGATCTACTAACACTTCCAGGGAAAAGGGTTCTCTCTGAGGTCAGGAGTTGACTAGAAGAAGATATATTGAAAGCGTTAATGTATGTGAAGGACTGGGAATACGCTAATTATCGAATTCAAGATAAATATGCTGAAATTGCATGTAACAAAGTAAGTGATATTTAATTTCACTGTATTCATCACAAAATTTTATTTTCATACCTTTATAATTTTTTTTTTTTTTTAAATTGTACACTTAACAAGTTGTTCGTGTACAATTTTTAACTCCACATTCTCGAAATTGAAGTAACCGGTCCCAAACCTGAATATTTTTTTTTTTTTTAAGGTTTAGTAGTAATAAAAAAAAATGACGAGCCGAGTTCGCCAAAAAATCGGCTCGTGTGGGTAAGGGCCGAACCAAGCCTATTAATAAAAATCAAATAAAATTATCCTCCTTAATTTATTGTAGGGATAAATATGTTTTTAATAGTGACTTTTTAAAAATTATGTTGTTTCAAAGGGTAGAAAAATATTTTGAGTTTGCTAGTAGAATTATAATAGTGATTTTTTAAAAAGTATATTGTTTCAAGGGGTAGAATTTTTTATTTTTATTTTTTGAATTCACGTGTAGAATTATTTTATTGAGAAAATATAGAATTAAAATTTTGTTTAAAAAAAGGGATAATTGCAACAGCGATACCAAACATTTCATTAAATAACTAATTTTGCCCAACCTTTCATTTGTACCACCCACGGTACCAAACATTTCAAAATGTTACAGTTGAAGTCCAAATGGATGGTTTCTGTTAGTTTGATTGTTAGTTGACCAAATAATTGACATTGACAATAATTTTGACTTATTTTAAAAGGTTAAAATGATAATTTACATTTTTTATAATAAAATAACCAAATCTTCATCTGCTCTCTGCATCCATGTGCTGCGAAATCCAGCGAGCAATCACCTTCTCTTCCCAACTGTTTCGATGCTCTCTTCCCAAGTGGATTGCAATAGAAATGATGGGATCAACGGAACCAAGAAAGAACCACATATCCAGCCGACAACAAGAGCCCCAAATCTACCATGAATAAAACAATTTTATTTATAGGTATTAATGTTTATGTAAGATTTGTATGATATGTGTGTGCTTTTATGGGGGGTTTTGCAAGATCTTTTAGATTTATACTTTTGTTATGGGTTTTTAGGTGGTTTTAATGGTTGATCCGCAATAAATTTTGTGTTAATTTTTCTGGGTTTTATGTGTTGTAGGATTTGTTTTGTTGTTGAGTGTTTTGATGGATATCTCATAAAGCGATCATTAAATCTTTTTGTGTTCTTGAGAGGTCCACTTAGCAATCCTTGATAAAAAGGAAGTAAAGACCATTAAACCCATTTTTTTTTCTTGATTTTGGGAAAAGAGGTTGAGGGATTAAAGTAGAAATCAAAAAGCAAGAAATTCTAGGTTTTGATTTTCCAGATTTGGGTTGGGTTGGGTTGGGTTGGGTTGACGTGACGTGAGGTGGGGTGGGGTGGGGTGAAAATGAGTTTTTAATTTTAATTATTTTATAATAAAAATGTAAAATTACTATTTTAACATTTTAAAATCAGTAAAAATTATTGTCTAGGTCAATTATTTGGTCAACTAATGATCAAATTAACAGAAACCATCAATTTGGACCATTAGCAATATTTTGAGATATTTGGTACCGTGGGTGGCACAAATGAAAGATTGGACAAAGTCTGCTATTTAATGAAATGTTTGGTACCATTACTACAATTATCCCTTAAAAAAATGATTTTTTTTTTTTTAAAAGGGGCTAAATTCAAGAACAATAAATTTGCCAACATAACATCTTGGATGTACTGTAGAGGTTTGGAGTTGGGGACCTTTTGGGTGGGTTATGGTGAACCCGATTTCAGCAAGGGAAGTGCTACATGTACATAANTGTAGCCCCTGTTTGGGCCACATTATTTTCTTCATTCTCATTCTTCTACTCGTTTTCAACCATACATTCTTCAATAAAATAATATTTTCTATCACATCAATAATTTTTCCTTCTTTTTCAACCACATATTCTTTATCACATCAACAATAAAAATACATTCTTACCTTCAAAATGTGGGCCAAACTTGGGCTCAGACTTTTCCTTTCAGCAAATGGAAAACGCGACGACCTCTCCAAAAGTTTTCAAAACTCCATAACATTTCACTTCCCGCCCACAAAACCTTCGTGAGCTCTCTCTCTCTCTCTCGCGCACGCACGCACGCACGCACGCACAAGATATTCACCATAATTATAGCTTTTCCTTCGCCAAATGTCGACGTCGAACAGTCGCCGGATAAAGGAAGGCGGCGCTGAAGGCGGAAGAATCACCGCTGCAACATCAAGATCCTCTAGATCCCTTACACCCGTCTCCACAAAGTCTATTTTTATGGGATCCACGGGAAAAGAGAACCAGAGGCCGACGTCCCGGGTCCGGGCTGCGACCCAGAAGCCCCTTAATATGCCGATTGCCCGGGTCAACAAGTCTGCAACCGTCGTGGAGGCGGAGTCACGTTCAGAGCCGCGTACCAGGCGGTCTACTACGTCGGTGCCCAGAGGTAGGAGCTCTAGTCCCTTTGTAATTACTAGGGATTTATCTGATTTGAAAAAAAATTCTAGGGTTTCAGTGGGCCCACCACAAAGGAAAGGGAACGATTCTAAGGGTTTGAGTGGAAAAATGGACGAAAGATTTGATCTTGGGAAAAGGGGTTCAAAAGATTCCGGGAGAAATGGGGGAAAATGTGAAGTAGATGAGAATTCTCAAGAAAATGGGAAACTTAAGTTTAGGGTTGGGAGTAATGATAATGAGAAAAGGAAGGGAGATTTCAATTCAAATTTAAAGCAAAATTCAAATTTTAGAACTTCTGGTGAAAATACCATTTTAAATATATCTGGTGCAAAAATTAAGGGTTCAGCAGATAAGAAGAAATCTTCTATGCGAGTGCCTGAATTGAGGTCAAGTTCAAGAGAGCGGAAAAGGGTGAATAATGTAAGTAATATGTCAACTCTGTCAAGAGAGAATGGAGTGAATAAGTATCCCAGCAAGCTTCATGAAAAGCTTGCATTTTTGGAAGGGAAAGTGAAAAGGATAGCGTCGGATATTAAGAGGACTAAAGAGATGTTGCACACAAGTGATCCAGATGCTTCAAAAATGATGCTATCTGATATTCAGGAGAAGATCTCTGGGATTGAAAAGGCCATGTGCCATGTTGTTGGCAATGAAGAAGCTGTGAATATAGAGCTGGTTAAAAGTGTTGAAAATGAGGAAAAAAAGGTAGAGAAACAAGTACTTGATGTGGAAAGGTCAGTTAATGGGGTGGTAAATGGTGAAGAAATGGAAGCACAGTTATTTCCTCATCATAAGTTGATTAGGGACCAGACATTGTCAAAGACATTGGGAGGATTTGAGACTCATGAGTTAGAAGTTGGAGAATCCACAAGTGCATTGAGTGTGGAGGAGAAGAAGATGAGTCCTGCAAATGGGAATACAATTGCTTTGGAGCCCCTGACCTCTCTGAGCAAGGAGGAAACTACTGGTACAGAGACTAATAAGGTTCATGAAATGGATGATCCCGTGAGTTCTGTAGCTCAAAATTATTCTCTAGGTTTATTAAATGGAAAAGCTGATATTGATGCTATGCTTATGGCTGATGAAAATCTTAATGAGTTTGATGATCAAGAGAGAGTGCCGACAATGATATGTGAGGAGGAGGTTGAAGATATGTGCATGTATCAGTTGAATGACATTGGAAGCAAGACATCAACAGGAGGATGGTTTGTGTCAGAAGGAGAATCTGTTCTTCTAGCTCATAGTGATGGCTCATGTTCTTTCTATGATATTACCAACTGTGAGGTTCGTTATTACCTACCTTATCTTATTCCATCCTATTGCATTTTTCAGGGAAATTCACACTACATACTTTTGAAAACGTGCCTACAGCAGCGCACGTTCTTTTTTAATTCTCATAACAGAGAATATTTGATTAGTGTTTTAAAACAATCAGTACAATCTTTCTCGAAGTTTTGTGATAATAGTTTCATTATAGGAGAAGGCTGAATACAAGCCTCATGCTGGAGTCTCCCCAAACATGTGGAGAGATTGTTGGATGATCCGTGCCCCTAGTGCAGATGGTTGCTCTGGTAGATACGTGGTGGCAGCATCTGCTGGGAATTCCATGGACTCAGGTTTCTGCTCATGGGATTTTTATACCAAAGAGATACAAGCTTTTCAGATTGAGGATGAAACTGGCTTTACAAGAACAGCCCTTGCTCCCTTATCTAACAACAACATGTACAGAAGAAATGCTCTGTCAACAATCATGGCTACCGAAAACAGACAATGGTGGTACAGACCTTGTGGACCTCTTATGATATCCACTGCCAGTAGTCAAAGGATGGTGCGAATTCATGATATTCGTGATGGAGATCATGTTATGAAATGGGAGTTGCAGAAGCCTGTGCAGGCCATGGATTATGCAAGCCCTTTGCAATGGAGAAACAGAGGAAAAGTTGTAATAGCTGAGACAGATACTCTCTCTCTATGGGACGTGAGCGCTCAGAGTCCTCAGGCATTGCTGTCAGTTTCTTCCTGTGGTCGAAAAATTTCTGCACTCCATGTGAATAATACGGAAGCAGAATTTGTTGGAGTAAGGCAGAGGTGACATTTATTGAACTTGGACACTATTATTATTTTTCTTAGTTCTTGCTATTAATTTTCATGAATTCCTTGGCTAGAAATTTTGATTTTTCATTCTCATGAAGCTGACTCTACACCTCCTGTTCTGTAAAATGTTTTTTGCACGCTGTTCAAGAAACATCATTTCTTGCAGCATCTTCACTTCATGCTTCCTGAATTAATTGGTGCCATTTAACTCCTTCAATCATTTTCTTGTACTTCAGAGTGCACGACTTGATTTCTTTCTGACATGCATATTCTTTGAAACTGGCCCCTTGATCACATGTGATTGCTGTTTTATTCTCCGTTATTCTAGTAAATACAGCCTGCAGTTTGTTCGAAATTTTCTATTCGATATATGTTGTGAAGCTCATATAGTTTTTTATTTCCCCTGCAGAGTTAGTACGTCCGAGGCAGAAGGAAATGATGGTGTGTTCTGCACTTCGGATTCTATTAACGTCCTAGACTTCCGGCACCCATCTGGTATAGGTCTTAAGATACCCAAAGATGGGGCGAATGTGCACTCAGCTTTCTCTAATGGAGATTCTATATACACCGGATGCACAAATTTAATGGCGGCAAGAAAACAGTCATCCTCCCAGATTCAACAGTTCTCGTTGCGCAAGCAGAGGCTTTTTAGCACGTACTCATTACCAGAATCGAATGCTCATTACCATTTCTCAGCATTAACACAAGTTTGGGGAAATTCGAACATTGTCATGGGAGTTTGTGGACTCGGTTTATTTGTTTTCGACTCCTTGAAGGAAGATGGACTACCTTTAACAATGGATTATGGGAACATGCAAACTGTGAAAGAAATGGTTGGACCAGACGACATGTATTCCCCTTCTTTTGATTTTTCGGCATCTAGAGTTCTCCTCATATCAAGAGATCGCATGGCTATGTGGAAGTACTTATCGCAGTAAATCTATTTCGTTAAAGACATAAAACTTTAGCTACATGGATTGTGTAATGACTTATTGCTGCCATTTGAGGTTCTGTAGCAGATTTTCTATTTGAGATGCTAAATTATTGGATAATTTATTGAATGATATCTCATTTAGAAATGTAAATATTTACTGTTAATGTGAAGAACTTTGTGATTTAGAGCGGAATGGAAAATGACTATCATACTTTTAAGTTGAAACCGGTTCACCTTTTCATTTGGTCTCCACTCATTCAGTCATTTGATATAAGCCTTTGCTACAAATGCAACTGTGTCCCGTCTTTTTTGTTTTGTTTCCAACCTTTCATTAATTAGCAGCGACCATCTCTGCCCTGATGACGGTTTCAATTTAATCTTTCCAGTAATTCTATCATGTGCACTGCACAAGGCTTTATGAGAAATGGAAAAATGTCAGATTTAAAATAAATAGAAAGATTTCTAAGTTCTAACACTATGTTTGATCCACGTTCTTATAAATATTCATTTTTTTAAAACTCATTTTCAACTACACACTCTTCAATAAAATAATATCACACGTAAATTTAAATATTTTTAACCACATTTTCCATCAAATTACTATTTAAAATGCATTCTTCACTCTATAATGTGCATCAAACATGGTCAAATGTATAAAATGGCCAAGCCTAACCTACTTTTTGATATACAATATTAAAATTTTAAATCAAAGTAAACAATTAATTTTAACCACATATTTCATAAGATCCATAATTTTCAACCATATATTTAATCATTTTTTTTTATCAAAATCTATTAAAAATCTGATTTTAATCCTCATCAAATAAATGCATAATACTGTATATAATGCAAAGATGGAGCTCTTTGCACAAGAACAATGCGACCTGGATCACAATTTAGGTGATCAAATTTTATAGATTTAATTAAATGAGTCACGTGACTTTGCATTTAAACGAATTTATCATTTAACGTCATGTAATTGTCATTTAAATTAGCCCTTAATACCAGTGGTGATGAATATCATTACGCTTCGCACAATCTTACCCTTTTTTTTTTGTTCACAAGTGATGCTACCAAAAATCGTACCTGTCGACTTTCGAGTTTGACGACTAAGAATTAGCACGAACGAGGTCTTCTGGTACCTGAAACAAAGGCGTCGAGGTGTATACTCGTCGCCCCTCTGATACTTAAGTCAGAGAGAGAATTTGTGAAAGATATGTGCTAAAGAATTATGTAAAAAACGTACCTTAATAATGAGTTGGGATGATGTATTTATAGAGGTTGGTGACACAGTTCTAGTAAGATCACAATATTGAGATCCCTAGGAGTTCTAACATGACTAGAGGTTTTTACGTGATTGGTTTCATATTATCAACGTGTTTGGATATAAGTGAAATTCTGATTGTAGAATCATTTTAGGATGAGATAACATACCAAAACTAGGACTCTCTATCTTTTCGTGGAAGAAGTATGACCTGAAAATTAGGTGCCCCGAGGAGGTCTGCCCGAGGAGGTCATACTCGTACCTTCAATCAAGGTGGAGAGCTCTTGCTCGAGCACTACGCTCGAGCTTCTGCCAAGTTTGGTATAATCAACAAGCATTGGAATCGGAGGCTTTATGTGGAAGCCTAAGATGGGTGGTTGGAGCTGTCTGTCCCATCTTTACATATTTTCTGTCACAAAATTAAAATATAAGAACACATAGTGAAAAGTAGTATAGTTTTTAAATTGTTAATTTTAATTTTTTTAGTTAAGTGAAAAAATATAATATATTACTTCATCTTCTCCGTAACTCCTTCACAAAATGAATAGGCTGAGGAATTACCAAAAATGGAAAAGTCAGGACTATTCATGCACAAATACAACAAACCTAAAGTAAAGTTTACCAAATAATTAACTGATTCTCCCCTTGACACAGTAAAAGTTGATTCTATTGAAAGAACAATAATCAAGTCTAAAATGTTGTTAATCACTAGTAGTGTTATATAACATTATTATTTAAATTATTATTATGTAGCACATCGCTGATATTTAACATCAGTCAATAGCCCCTATCCGTTCACAAATAAAACTTTCTTTTTCTTGCACAAAATTAGGCAACAGAGATGGAGGCGGTGGACAAATTAAACCTCTGTCCCGGTGTGATGTGATGAAAACCAAAATTTGGACCGTTGGTTTGGCATTAAGATGATTTTTT